CATGAGGCACACTTGGCATCCTGGTTTTACGAGGTTGAGGCAGGATGATCTCTGTGATTTTGAGGCCACTATGAGCTATGACTTGGAACCAAGGCTGGCTGAATTACACAGGGTGAACTTATCTATAAAACATTAAAAGTCCAGGCATGAAGTTGCATCCATGTAATAAAGCATACAGTTGGCTGGAGCAGGAATATCCCATTGGAGGTCAGCTGTTAAAGCATCCTAAATCTAGGTCATCCTGAATTATAGTGAGAGACCTGGTATGAATACAAAACATGCTGGCTGTGGGGCTGGATGCCTGGAATCCAGCACTGGGGAGGCAGAGGCAGGACAAACTCCTAGAGTTGGAGATGAATGTGCTGTCCTAGAGTTCAAGGCCATCCTGAAAGAGGGGAGCCTGGTCTCGCACGAAATACGTGCTGACCATGATGGTGCACAGCCAGAAGTGAAGAAGCAGAAGGTGGAGTCCAGCTGATTTTCAAGAGTTGGAAACCATGCTATTCTCTCTAGTAAGGTCAAGGCAGCATAAAACAAATAGAACTCTTGCCTCAAAACCAAAACATGGGCTGGGGAGATAGCTCAGAAATAAATGCTTGCCTGGCAAGTGAAAGGTCCTGAGTTCAATCCCTGATATCAAAAAGAAAAAAAAAACATGATGGCCTTGGTAAACAGGTCTGTAATACATACTCTGGAAGCTGAGGCAGGAGGACCTCCACAATTTGGAGGTCAGCCTGGGCAAGACTGTACCATCCAGGCCAGCCTGAATTGCATAGAGAGACCTGGTCTGAACATAAAACATGCTGGCTGTGGGGCTGGACGCCTGGGATCTAGCACTTGGGAGTCTGAGGCATGAAGACTTCCAGGAGTTCAACTTGTTATCCCTACAGAGTTCAAGGCCAGCCTGAAATAGAAAGTGAGACCTAGTCTCAACACAAACATACCGTCTGTAGCTGATGCCTGGAATCTAGCACCACGGAGCCTGAGGTAGGATGATCTCCAAGAGTTGGAGTTCAACCTTGCTTCAGAAGAGGCTTAACAGATGCCTGAATTAGAGAGACAGAGAGAGACATGGGGTCCCTCCCTAATGCATGGATGGCCTGCCATTGTTCGTGGATGGCCCCATGAGGTCCTGTCAAGCCCTCCCTAGAGTTACTCAGCACTGGAAGGATATATAAACAGACTGAAGGAAGGGTGGTTGGTGCCACTTCCTTGGAGGTGCTCCAGTAATCACAATCAGCGTGGAAGGAAGGGAGAGAGGCTTGCTAGAAGCTGCAGCTGCTGATCCTGTGTGCTTTGCTGTTTTCTGTCACCATGAACTACTGCCAATCTGCAATGTGCAACTCTGCCTTGGAGCCAGCCCAGTATGGACTGAAACCTCCACTAACTGCAATTAAATAAACCTTTCCTTCCTTAATTTTGGGTGTCAGGTATTTTGTCCCAGCAATGAGTGAAACATAACTGAGACACCAACTGTAGGATGTGCTATTATTTTTCATCTCCCTTTCCTTTTCCTTGGTCTACTCTTGCTCTGCAGAGTCCATTTTTGCCCTACATTGTTTTTTCTAACTTTAACAAATATGAAAGTCTAGAGTGTTTATAGCTTTTTCATTTAATTCTTTGTTAAGTACAAAATGAACCTAGAAATGACTTCTAGGAGGATACCCCAGGAGGACCTAAAATCTAGTAACAGAGTCAACAAGGCAGTGAAGGAGGAAAAGGGACAGATGAGATGGAAGGGATTCCAACACAGCCACAGGTAGATGCCACATCACTATTTCCTGTGAGGGTGAATGTCTGGTGTGAACCAGAGTTAATCCACAGAGGACCCCTTTTTTCTTACCTATAGCAAGCAATGACATTGTGCTCCCTGAGACCTTGCCTTCAAACGTCAGGCCTTACAAATGCACATATCAGTTGAAAGTGCTATTGGATTAGAATAGGAACTCACACCCGTCACATCTATCCCCTGAATGAATTATCTGTTTGCTTTGCTATGCTATGAGTTTCTGCATGCCATTTTGCCAGTCATGTGCTCAGAAAGGCTATGAAATTCACATCTCTCAGCCATATGGTGGGAAGTGGCAGAGTTGTGGAGTAGAGTAACATTGCTCCTTTTACCCACCCTGCTATCTTATTTCTTAGTGTCTGTAGCTCTACAGGCGCATGTTTTTCCTTTTACTGAGAACTGAGGGCTGCATGAGACAGAGCTGAGAGGGAAATGGGACTCTGGAAAACCTGCAGAGGGCCTGAAAGGGGAGAGTAGGTATTGATGAATCAGCCAGGGTCCTGAACTATAAATCCTATTTCCCAACATTGCAATGAGACTGCATTTCTTCCTGGAGCCTTTGTATACAAATAGTGGTATCACTTGTCTCTGTTTCTCCCCAGGAACATCTAAAGCTAATCACTTCCTGTTACTTGCTTTAAGTCACGTACCTCTCAAGTAGCACTGGACCCTGCTGATGATCACTCTTGAGAATTATGCCAGTACACATGAAGAACTGCAAGATTGGCATTAAAACCACAATGTAGGAAAGGGTCTACAGGGTGTTCAGGGTCTCACTACTAGATCAGACTCATAGTGATCCAACTGTTTACAGCCTCCCAAGAGCTGGGATTACAGACACCCACCATGCCCAGTCTCAATCGCCAGTCTCAGCATGTCCCAGGGGTGGGCCAGCACGGCAGGCGTGGGGATCGAACCCCTTGATCCTTCACCTGCTTGTAGGCACTGTAATCTGCTGAGCTACTTGGCCGGCCCTCCGCAAAGTATTTTAACAAGGTTGGCAGCCTTGTGAAAATGTCCTTTCTGCTGACTGACATTCAGGGACTTAGCTGAATATCATGAGACAGTATCTACTAAATCCACAGCTGAAGTACTTCCTTTCATTTTTGAGCTAAGCTTTCCAAAATTTGCACTGATAACTCAATGTGCTTTGAATGGTGGTATGATAACATATAGAGAAAATACAAACAAGTGAGAATTCTCACTAGGAGAGTGGAGCCCTCCATGAGAAATTAAATTTTCCCTTCTTAGTTTCAACAGCACAAACTCTAATACCTCTGGAAAGAATGTGGTGGGGATCGACAGTCCTTAAGGATCTGGACATATAATGGGATCCTTTCCACCTAGGTCACTTATTCTTCTTGGTTTAGTTCTTTTATCCTTTTTTATATAGCCTCTTTTTGAAACTTTAGTTTTTAGTAGCCCTTTCATTAGCTTGAGTGTTCATCTAATAGCATGTGCAGTGTGTGCAAAATTTCTACCCCTAGCTATCACTTCCCCTCCATTTTCAGGCATTTCAAATTCAAGAGTTTCTAGTATATTTTGGTACTGTTCAGAGCAGTGTATGTATCTTAAGTAGGATACCAGCTTATTGTTTAATGCCTATTATAAAGCTATAGAGAAGTATGTCTAAAAAGGAATCACACCAGAGATGTACTCTTCTGACCATTCTAAAGGCAAACTGGAAATAACGAAAAAGTCACCACTTTAGTATGCTGAAAAACTGAAAAAACACACAAAGTTTATTTTCTTTTGTAAATATATGAAAGACAAAGAAATAACACATGAAATGTTTACATATTTACAATCACCAGTCACAGTATTAGGCATGCTTCTATGTGTGTCCAATTTAATCTTCACAACATCCCTTAGAGGTAAGAATCACAATCCCAGTTTTACAAATCAGAAGCTCAGAATTATCTCCTCCTAGAAAAATATCTGAAAATCATCTATTCTAAAAGAAGTGAACACTGGTCAGTTCTGGGTGGTTTGCAGTCAAAGGACTTTTGTTTAATATTTAACTCTAATGTGAGATATATCATTTTTATTAAAAAGTAAAATTTTTGGAAATAGTAAATAAATATACAGAAGCTTTGGCCAATATCATACACTAACCTTGACTGTTTTAAGTCTGTATCTTCCAACTTTTTTGATAGCACATTCTTTTGTTAAAAAGGAAGCAAAAATATCAGAAAAGAGTTTCCATATGTTCTGGTTGCAACTGGGGCCATAAACATAAGGCACATGCGTTACTTTGCTAAGATTTTGGGATGTTTCCTCCTGGTATCAGATGTGCACCAAGACTACAAAGCCCCAGGGCTTTCCTTGCCTTCTCAGTAAGCTAAAGGATCAGACATCCTGGCAGAGTGTTCAGGTATGTGTATAAATTGGAGCAGTCCTAACAATGGAACTTTCACTAGGCCCTGGAAGAGTACATGCCTTTTAAAAAAACTTGTACACATCAAGGCAAAACAGGCCACTCATCACTGCTCTATGCTTTCTAGAAAAGAAGAGGAATCTGAATGAGGACTCAGACTGCATCCTCTATCATTTTATTCTATAAGCAGGAATTGGGAGGGTCAACAGAAGATAAATGTAAGTTCTTGTAAGTTTTCTGGGTTTGTGTTGGCCTTCAGGCCTTCCCCTGTTGCTTGGAATTATTTGATGGAAAGCACAGCAGCAGTAGGTTCTTAGGAGAATGACAACTAGAATGGACATTATTTCTCCAGCACAAACACTTCATTCTAGTTGTGTCTCAGGTTAAATTTCCCTGAGCCCTAGGCTTGGGTGTCAGTGGAGACAGGAACATAACCAGTGAGACTGTCCCAGTCTTACTAATTCTTTCTAGGCTCTTGTTAGATGACCTGGTATACTCTTATTTTCTATCTCAACTGAGAAAAAATGAAGAATGGGAGTGGGATTCATGGCCTCATACATTTACTCAACCCCTCATACTTGAAGAACTTCTATTAATGAGGGTGGGGAAGCAATGAATAATAGATAGATAGAGATAGATAGATAGATATTTGTATTTTATCCTTTCAATTGTAAAGAACACAGCATGTATCACTCTTGTGATAAGGACTGAAGATACAATGCTGAGTATGAAACAGGTTCATTTCTGTGATGTGGGACATACATTTTTGGCCAGTAACAGATTCCAATTATTGGGCACCTCACAACTCAATAATCTCTCATCATTTGTTATTCTCTATATGGACTTGTCACAGACTGAAGACTGTGGGCATCCTTCTGTACATGTATGGAACTTTTGGTGTCTAACAAGGCTTGACTGTGTGCGGAACTTTCTCATACAAGTGGAACAAGTAAAACTCGGCTCACCTGAGTGAGTCTCCTGGTGTTTACGAAGGTGTGCTTTCTGAATAAATCCTTTTCCACATTCATGACACTTAAAAGGCTTCCCTCCTGTGTGAATTCTGTGGTGTAAGCATAGATTTCTTCTATGACTGAAGCTTTTTCCACACCACGAACAACTAAATGGTTTTATTCCTTGATGCATGAAGAAGTGCTTAGTAATACCTGAACTCCATCTAAACCTCTTATCACACTGTGGACACTTGTAAGACTTCTCATCAGTATGAATTCTCTGGTGCTTAACAAGGTCAGAACTACCTCTGAAACATTTTTCACATTCCTGACACTTAAAACGTTTATCCCCTGTGTGACCTTTCCTCTGACAAGCCCTACGTTTTGGGAGGTTTTCTTCACTAGTTGAAGGTGTCTTTCTATTTTTTCTCAGAATACCTTGACCCTGGTCCTCTACCCTGTGTGTATCACTGTGATTTTCTTTGGCTTTTCTTTTCCGAGCAACATTCTTTCTGGTCTTTGATCCTTGGCGTTCTGCTGCTTGTATTTCTAATGCCGAAACAGAACTAGGCTCAGCATTTCCGGTGTCATTTTTGAACTTTAATCCTGGAACAAACAAAACACTCAAATAAACTACATGAATGAAAAGAAAAATCAATAATGACTGCTGATTAAAACATAGCAAACAAGTGACTTCAGGTTAGTCTGACAAAATGGCATAAATCTATCTCTCCCTGTTCCTTCCTATAAGACACAACAAGAAGCATATTAAATAATGAAAGACATAACCAAAAGGGAATTTTAAAAATTGGGATGATGCAAACTGGTTTGGAGCCCTAGGAATGGAAGAATAACCTAGCTGACTATTTTATACCCCAAAATCCAGTGAAAAAGTAACTCAGATGCAGGGATTCTTATTCCTTCCTAGCTCGGCCTGGGAAACCTCATGACAGCATCAGGCAAAATAGATACAACTGGCAAAGGTGATCATCAGCCTGGAATTTATCAACATTGTGCAGGCAGGAGAGATTCTTGCTTCCTATACTGAGCTGAAGATTTTCCCTAACCCTGGTGGAAACAAATCAAGATAGATAAGCAGAAATGGAAAGAAACCAGCCAAATCAATGAAAATCAAATAGAAGCCTCTTGAATACCACAGGCAAGAGATTTCCTCTCTTGTAGGCAACAAGGGCAAAGCAGAAACAAGGGGCTTGGTTAGGAAGCCTCTACCTCCCTATAGATCTCAACTCTTTTCCCCTCTGAGAGAAACCCTGTTTAAGGAAAATGTTTTCCATAGCTTCAGCTGCCACCAGCTGGGTCCCAAGGGGGCCTCAGCAGTGCATCCTTCATGAAGAAGGATGAAAACCAGAAGAACAGATGGGGAAAGGGTGAGCAGTGCATCACTACATACTCTGCAGCATTAAGATATAGTAAGCGAGTACAGTAATACCTCGGTGCACAAAAGCTGCTATTTGCAAGGGATTCCACTGGCAAAATTGTGCTTCTATTCTCAAGCTCTGCACTGGATAACAAACATGAACACAGCTACCTTAAGCAAACTGATGCAATAAATTAAGGGTGAAAACTAAGGTGCCTCTCTACTCTGAACTTTACATTCATGGATTTAAAAAGTTAGTAAAAATGGACCAATTCCTTCACAACTAGCAAAGTGCAACAAATATGAAACAAATAACCTGAAGAACACTAAAACCATTCAAATAATTCATAATTTTAAAACTCCCCATGAAAAAACACTCCACGTCCAAATGGTGTCACTAGCAAAGTCTAGCAAATATGTAAAGAATTAACCATTCTTTATAATCTGACAGGAAAGATGAGAAAATACTGAACTCATTTTAATACCAATATTATGCTAATGGTAAAACCATATGTACAGTACTAAAGAAGAAAATTACAGGCTAACATCTCCTGCAAACTCAAATACAAAAACGTCAATGAACCTGGGCATGGTGGTGGTGCATCCCTGCAATCCTAGCATTCAGGAGGCTGTGAATTCAAGCCCAGCCTAGGCTACACAGTGAGTTCAAGGCCAGCCCTGACCCAAAAAGCAAAACCTAACCCCCAAAAAATACTTGTCAACAAAACATTCATTAACTTAATGCAACCAAGTTATGTATCATGATGAAGTAGAATTTATTACAGGTATACAAGGCTCATTCTGCACTTCAAAATAGACAGAATCCACCATTCTAATAAACTAAAGAAGGAACACCATCTGCTGCTATCAAATGGCATAGATAAATTATTTCACACAGTCCCACATCCATTCATGATAAGAAATCCATAAGGTTGGGAATTATACCACCATGATAAAGAACATCAACAAAAAATCCCAGTGCTAACATCATAGTTAATGAAATGATGAAAAACAGAATATTTTCATGCTAAAACAGAGAAGGCAAAGATGTCTTCTCTTATCACTTCATTTCAATATTAGAAGTACAATCTACTGTCATGAGGGCAAATAAGAAAGAAAAAGCATTGCATCCTAGATTTTCCATTGCTTATTTAGAAAATCCCATGAAATCTATGAATAAAAAATACATAGAACTAAAAATTGAATTCAGGAGAATCACATGATACTAGATTCACAGAACTACAGTATAAAACACAATAAAAGTACAGGAAGAAAAATCAAAAATAGCATCATTTATAATTATTCCAATGAAAATGAAAAAATTAGGCCTATACTTTAAAGATCTAGAGCATAAATACACTAAAAATTACAAAATGTTGATGAAAGAAATCAAAGACAAATAACTAGGCATCAATCTGCAAATTTTTACTGTGTATAGCTTTAGTGTGATTTCTGGCAAAATTCAAACCAAGTTTACTTTAGACACAGATGAGGGGGATACAGCTCAGCAGCACAGTTCCTCCCTGACAAGTGCAAGGTCCTGAGTTTGATTCACGGTACCTAGATAGACAGACAGACAGACAGACAGACAGACATAAGCTTACTCTGAAATTTATGCGGAGAGGCACAGGGCCTACAACAGCTAAAAAGATCTTGAAAAGGAGAATAAAGAGGGGGGAGTTACTCTACCCAATAGGTACTAAGGCTTACTATGCAACTACAATAATCAAGTGAGTGCAATATTCAGAGGGCAGACACATAGCTCAGTGGAGTAGTTCAGAAATACTATTCCCAACTTATCCTTGACAAGAAGCACAAAAGCAATTCAATGAAGCAATTCAACAAATGGCAAATGATGATAAAGCAACTGAACTTCCATAGGTGACTTCAGATTTTATATAACATTAACTCAAAAGTGATCATGGACTTAAATGTACAACATAAAATTATAAAAGTGTTAGAAGAAAACGATAGGAATCTAAGGTAAAGCTAATCACTGCTCTAGACTTGACACCAAAATCCCAGTGTGTCACAGAGAAAACAGCTGGTTCTCATCCAAATGAAAACTTCACTCTGTGGAAACCCATGTCAAGACCAAAAACAGACTGGAAGAAACTGACAAAAAAGCATACAACTGTCAAAGTATTCTAGAGAACAAAAAATACTGAAACTCAATAGTTAAAAAGTCCAGTTAAGTTTGAAATCCCCAAAGAAGTGACTCATCAGGCTTCATCAGACACCTAGACTAGTGGTTTTCCCACAATGAGACATAAAGTAAAAGGACTTCCTGAGCAATCTCTAAGATGTAGATGGGAAAAATGGGAGTTGAAGGCAGGAGACTCTGGGATTCTCCTGAATTTCCTAAATTAGTCACTATTGCTTCTATATGCTGGGTGTTCCTGTAAAATTGTATTGCAAAAATTTGTTATAGTTGGTATTTATTAGATGTATTCCTAAGCTGAAACTTTTAAAATTTGATAAAGTTTCTGGACTTTTTTCTTTGAACACTCATGTTATCTTGACAATATTTCAAACTGTACAAAGTGGGTGAAAATTATACTAAATGCTCAATGTCAGTATGACTGCGTGTACACTGTGATTTGGAGACAACACCATAGCCCAGGCATGAGGAGCATCATGAATGTGTGCTCTTGAATGAGTGATGGTCTTGGCCCTAAATAAAATTCAGTACTTTTAGAAAAAAAAAGTCCAATTAAAATGTGGACAAAAGACATTTCACTGGGGCCAGGGAGATGGTTCAGTGGAATAAGCGCTTCCCTAGCAAGCACAAGGCTCTGAGATCAATCCCCAGTTCCACTAAAAAGAAAAAAAAGAAAAAAAAGAAGACATTTCACTAAAAATGATACAGAGATGACAAATAAGCACATGAAAAGTTATAAAATGTCTTTAGCCTTTAAAGAAATGCAAATCAAAACCATAATGTGATATCACTACACATCTGACAGAATGGCTAGAAGTATCAAAAATTAATGATCTTAAATACAGGCAAAGATTTAGAAAAACTAAGTTGCTCATACACTGTTAGAAGGAATATGAAAAAGGATGCCATATGGAAAACAGCTTGACAGTTTCCCCTAAGTAAAACATGCAATTATCAATTATCGTAGGAGCCAGTAGCTGCACACTTAAAAGTATTTATCCCAGAGAAGTGAAAACCCTACCAAAAACCCTATACAGGAATGTTCTCGGCACTGTATTCAAGCAGCCGAATGACAGAGGCAGCAAAGGTATCTCTCAGTGGCTAAATGCTCATCCAGGGACAGGGCATGCTGCTCAGCAAAGAGAAGGAAAAGAGGTACTGACACAGGCAGCGGCTTAGATGAGTTTACAGAGAACTCTACTAAGTTTTAACAAAGTAATCTGCAAAAGCTATGTATTTTATAATTCCATCCTTATAAAACTTTCTGAGTAGCAAACTTGAAACTGTGAAACAGATGAACGAGTTTGTCAGAGGGATGCACGTGGCACTGTAAGGAGGCAATAGGGCATGCATATGGTGATGGAAGCATGCCAGTGTTTGGACTATAGTGGGGAATGTACAAACCTACACGTGGTAAAAGCACACAGGACTGGTGGAGAATGTACAAACCTACACGTGGTAAAAGCACACAGGACTGGTGGAGAATGTACAAACCTACATGTGGTAAAAGCACACAGGATTAGTGGAGAATGTACAAACCTACACGTGGTAAAAGCACACAGGATTAGTGGGGAATGTACAAATCTACATGTAGTAAAAGCATACAGAAGCAGTGGGGAATGTACAAATGCACATGTACTAAAAGCACACAGAACTACAGCAGAATGTAGAAATCTACACATGGCAAAAGCACACAGAATGAACGTGCACACCAACACACATAAAATTCACATAAAACTGGAGAAAGGTGAATAAGAACAGTAGGGCAAATCACTATCGGTATCTGGCTATAATATAATACTTCTGCAAAAGGTACAATGGAAACTAGGTGATGAATCCGTGGATTCTCCGTATACTACAGTTTTTTGGTCTTTTATTTCATTTTCTTACTTAACGTGTCCACAAAGAGAAGGAAAAGTCTTTACCTACAAATGAGGCAGCCTCACAGATATCCCACATGACTTCATTGTAGAGCGTCTTCTGATTAGGGTCGAGTAATTGCCATTCTTCTTCAGAGAAATGCACAGCCACATCTTCAAATGTCAACAGACTCTAAACAAGAAAATGGGCCTTCCTTTCACACCTGCCCTTCCAGAAGATTGTTAACCACCCATCTATGAATTCCATGCTAGGACTCATGCTGAAAAAATTAACAGTATAAGGATTAGGGGCAGTAAGACGGCTTAATGGGAGGAGCCAAGCAAACGAGTAAAAAGCCTGGGAGGTACCTAATGCCCACTCACCAGGGTGCTGGAGAACACCTGGAGTTAAGACACTGCAGGACACCCCTGGGGCACAGCAAGTGATAGCCAGCAGGGAAGGGCAGAAGCAGGGCCACCAGAATGAGATAGAAAGTATGGCTCACCTGGGACTCGAGCAGGTGCTCAGAGGCCATCTCCTGATGTTCGGTCCTTTTCGGCCCAGTAACGCCTAAGATCTGTAGAGTTTGCAGGGCTGTGCGTGGAAAAGAGCCAGAGAAAATTTCTCTTTTTCTGTTCCTGAGCATCCTAATGTGAGTTCTAAGATACTCAATACCAGGACAGCTTTGCTAAAGATGGATCACTGGGGTGAATGTGTATGGGGGCAGGAAGTGGTCTTCTCATGGGAACTAAGACGCACAGCTGAACCACTCCTGCAGCCCGTGTCCAAGATTACTGTGTTCTCCAGATTGCATGACATGAACCAATGAAAGATAACCTCTAAAATGGATTAAATGGCATAAAGTAAGTGGGATCTGAACCTGGGCAAGAACCGGTGTTTGAAAACAAAAGACACGGGGCCTCTGGGAAATACAGGTGTAAGAAGAGGAGATTTTTGTCTTGCTTTACTTTTCTTTCTTGGTGCACAATATGCTTCACATTCTACCACTTGGCAGCACGCTCCTCATCTGAATCCCTCCTATCACTTAAAGGGGTGCTGGGGCCCCACCTTTCCTTGCTCTATTTTCTTTCCTCTCCAACCACTAAGGCGCAAAGGCCAAGGTGTTGTCAGATATTTATCAGGGTTGTCACTTGGGCTGTTGTAAGTAATTGCTGTAACTCAGGCCTACTCCAACCTTCAGCCACCTCCTATATTCCCACCTGGGAAGCAAAAGCAAGCAGGATTAGGACCCTAGAAATCTCCTACACAAGTGGTGGCCAATCTATGACACATGCCACATCAGGCTGTTGGTTGTCACTGAAAGCTCCAGAAGGTTCGCTGCCACTGTACTCCATTCTAGCTAAACCAATTGGCATCACAGCTCCTAGGAGAACTACTACGAAGCTCTCACCTCTTTCATACATGAGATGGACCTCTTTGTGAGTATGCCAGCCCAGTCGTTCTTGTAGCATGTAGCATTTATTGCGCCTTTCTGTCTGGAACAAGCATCTCAGCTGGGGTTGCACAGGCATCTGGATGAAGCCGGGGGTCACCGCAGCGCCACCTAAGAGCACTACCATCGTTCTTCTTAGCTCCTGGGATGTGACCTAAAAATAATTCCCACTCTCATTAGCACAGAATTTACTTTTGGTTTAGAGGACACAGGGCCCAGTTTTGGGAGGTGATCACAAGATTAATGAGACCTTGTGTCACTATGTTGTCAGAAGAGCTATACACACAATATGGGAAAACTAAAATGAAGACAAGAACACTAGGACCACTTGCAGCCTCTCCAGTCCAACAGCCCCCACCCCTGCGCACCAGTCACAATTCAAGCTACTATCAGGTGTGCGAAGCTTCTCTACACTCACACTGATTTACTGGCTTGCTTTCTTGGCTTGGGTCCTGCCTTACTGGATTTCTATCTTTGCATTTGTTTTCCTGTCAGCCAGACTTCTTCCCTTCCTATACCTAAGGGAGGATGTTAAGGGGAAAGAGAACGGAACAGAGTGAAAAATTAGGGAAGAGACAGGCTCCAATTTTCTCTCTACGACTTGGCTGCTGTAAGACACCATCCATGTGCTCTGCCTTATCTTCAAGGTGCTGGGTGGGCTCCTGCAGAGGTAGGGTGCTGCCATCTCCTGAGGGCCTATCTTGGATCCCAAGTCACTAGCAGTACCAAGGACAGGGGCTTTGTGTACAGGAGGGATTTTTCTCCAAGCCCAGAGGCCTGAGCTCCTGCCATAGAGGACACCAGACCCCAGCATCCCGGTGATCTCCACTTTTCCGCTGGCCTTTCCTTAAGCCCAGCTCACCGGTTCCCTTTGTGCTTTCTACTGCTTCACTTCCTTTTGCAGTCTGCCCAGAGCTGTCTGATTTTATTTATTTGCTACCCTCACTTTCTTTGAGCCTCTGTGAGTGCCGTCCAATTTTTGAAATATTTCCCGCCTCTTTCTTGGCTTACAGCTCTGTTCCTAAGAACCCAGGGCTTGCCTCCTTATCCATGCCAGGCTAGAACCATCACCGTCAATCCACCCTAGCTCAAAAGACGGAAACATGCACTTTTTTAACTCTAAGGCCAGCAAAGATTCCATCAACAACTGTGATTCTTGTGGACAGTTTGCTGCATGCAGAGCCTGCCTGCCTATCGTAACAGAACAAGAGCAATAAGATTTCATCCATCTCATTCCCTGATAAGCCCCTCCCAGATATCTCTACCCCTGCCCTACTTCACTGTGCATATACCATCCAAAGAATACGGCTTCTTACCTCATTCGTTATTTCGAACCTTCTCTGTAAGTATTCTATCAGGGCCATAGCCTGGCTCATGTTCTGTGGATGATGCTTCCGTATCCAATTCTGGACTTCCTTGGGCAGAATGTTGAGGAACACCTCAAGCGCCAGCAATTCCAACATCTGCTCTTTTGAGTGGATATCTGGCCTCAGCCACTGATGGCATAATTCCTGAAGTTGGCTGACAGCCTCTCCAGGCCCAGGTGCCTCACACAGACAGAAGCTCCAGAAGTGCTGGCACGCGTCCTCAGGAGAAAGGTGCTGCACGCGCAGGCGGTGCTGCTGGCTCAGACTGGAGCGCTCTTTCACAGGACCAGCACCCTCCCTCACCTCACTCATTTTGTCTAGCAACAGGTTTACTCCTCTGTGTGTCACTGACACCCACTGGTGCCACCTAGGACAATTGAAGTCCCTTTTCGTTTGTTGCAACACCAGTGAATCGATCTTCTTTCCAAGCGCACTAAGGGAGAGGAGAAAAGACAAAAGAAAGTACTCATCAAGGGAAAGTCAAATGGCACACACTGAGAGAAATGAGAAGTTCCTGCCTCGCACCTCCTGCCTCTAACACTAACTGCCGGCAATCAGGAAGCTGAGGCAGGAGGATCAACACAAGGCCAGTCTGGACCTCTTAGTGACATAAGGTCCAGCCTGAAATGCACAGCAAGACCCTGTCTCAAAAAGCAATAAATAAATAAATAAATAGGCTGGAAAGATAGCTCCGCTTTCTAAGCATCTGCCTGGCAAGCGCAAGGTCCCTAGTTTGACCCTCTGTATTGCATGCTGTGCCCGCCCTTAACCCAGGGTGCATTGTGCTGGCTACTGAAACAAGGCATGGTGGTGCACGCCCCTGTATTCCCATAACTGGAGAAACAGAGATAGGAGGATCAGTATCAGTCTGAGCTGCTAGTGAGAACCTGTACCAGATAAATAAATAAACAAATAAATATTGAAAATTAAAATAAACAAGTATGTTCCTCTCTTTTTGTTACTCAGCTTTGAAAGAAAGCACCATGCACAGGAGGCAAATGTCAAATCATGTCTTATGTCCCCTCAGTCAACTTTTTAAAAAGCAGTTTAGGAAAGGTTTCTGAAAAACAGGTGTCCACCAGCCAAAAGATTTGAGAGCACCCCGCACTTAATCTGTGGCTCTCCTGGGGCCTGCAGCTAAGGCCCACTTGAGTCTCTCTGTATTTAAACACTTCATCCACATCTGTTACCTTAAGCCAGTAGCACAAGAACTTCTCTGCCTCTTATCCTCTCATAAAGATGAAAGGCATCGGACATTGTCCTTTCCATTTTATCAGTATTGGTAGGAAAAATGGGACAAGACCAGAGACATAATTAAGAAAAAAGAAACAGTGTTCCTCCCCACGAATTTCCTGAACTAAGCAATGTTCCGTGAAGCCTGTGCTTCCTTCGGAAGATGACTAAGGAGCACTGAGTACACTTGTACCTGCATATTCGATGCTTTCTTTACTTTCCCTGGAAAACTTACACCTGGCCTTTGTTCACAGTAAGCCTGAACGTGTTTTTGGTAGAGAAAAACGACACAGTGATTGTGCACGTACTTACAGCCTAGAAGGGCCCAAGAGAGCTAACTCTTTGCCTCCCATTTTCTCAAGACGGGCCTTTCCGGGTGTCCTCCAGGCTGCAGCTGGGCTTTCCAGCCAAATTTCCCTTTGGGCAGCCCTCACTCACACAATTCTTTCCAGCTCCTGCACAGCCAAAGCGATGGCGGGCTCCCCGTCACCCTTCTGGGCTCAGGGGTGGGGGTCACCTCCTAGCTCTCTGTACCAGCAATGCCAAGGTCTCTAAGGCTGGAGTGACCCCTCATCCAGGGGATCCTACGCTGGTGGATACGGGCCCACGGGTGCATCGGTGGCTACTTCAGCCCAGCTGAGGTAGGAAAAGAAGCCCTTCCTGCAACATCTGGCCCGCGAGCCGCAGCCTGCCTGACCACGAACACCAGCACAGAATGGACAAAGAGGCTGCCCCTACAGCTTACACGTGGCCCCGGGGCCCTCGAGGCCAGGCCTGCCCTCGCCACGGTCTGCCCACTGCCCAGCGAGGTCCCCACCGCCAGCCGAGGCTCCCTCCCGCACCCCTCCTACACGCCCCTCCCCAACCCCCTCGCCCGCGCAACAGCTCCAAAAGCTGCCACTCATGAGACCGGGCATCACTCAGGGCTGCCCGAGGGCAGAAAGGGAAAATGGCTGCTCCAGTCACTTTCCTGTCATCCACAGTGGATGAAGTCACCGCGACTCTGCGTGAGGATACCAGTCCCCAGCCAGGGCAGAGGCCACATGTGGAAGCACGACGCTTACCGAGGGCAGAGCCACGAAGGCGCGAACGCCAGCCAGCAAGGTCAGTCACCTCCGGAACCGGCTGCTCCACGACACCCGACGCGCTCACCTCAGGTGCAGGGCTGTGGAAACAACGTGCACCGGAAATCGAAAGACACGCGTCCCGTGGCCACGCCCACTGAGCGCATTCCCGCCTCTCGACTTCTGTGGTAAAGTCTCGCGAGACTTGTTCATCATGCAGGAATTGCCCTTCTGCCTTTTGGAAGCCTAGAGAAGCCCCCACCCCACCCCCCCGCACACATTGTCACCGGGGAGAGTCGGAGCCTAGGGAGGCCTGCTATCAACTTCTCCTCTGCAACATTTATGAAATATTACACATCCACATTTTCTCTCCTGGCTTCCCGTCAATTAGCCGCCATTTCTACCCAGGGTCAACGAAAGTGCAGAGTTCATAGGTCATGCTGGAACCTCACTGACTCTGTTCTGTCTTCAGCAGTTCTAGCCCGAGTTTTACCAACAGTGTAACAAGTCTCTAGACTTGTCAAGGAGAATTGCGGGGAGCAGGAGTTGAACTCACAACCCTGTGCTTGACAGCCAGGCGCTTGTGCCACTGACTATGCCCCAGGCCCAAGGAGAGTGCTTTAGTGAGGCAGTTTGCTCTGCACCTTACCCTGATGAAGAACAGCATTCTTTTAAGTTCTAAAATGATTTTCCATTTTAACAGCACGTCCTTCTCAACTGTTATCTGACTATTCTTGTCATTCATGCCTGTACACACAAATTGGGAGGTGCGCTCATTCTTTTTATGAGCACCCCCCTCCCAAGACAGGAGCGTCCATCCGCAGGAGGTCCAGAGTCCTCGTGACCTAAGCAAGTCTCAAACATCCCACCACTGGACATTATTGAACCGAGGATTAAAGCCCTCATGTGTGAACTTTGGGGGACAACTTCAAACCACAGCGCAGTTCTTGTAATAAAACAAGCATCACTAGCACCTAGATGCAGAACTCCCTGTGGTTATTTGGGAAATATGGTCATGTAAGGTCAGGCGGCACAACATGCTGTAGGGACCTCCGTACAGATGGGAAGTGGTGAGACTCCTTCAAAGCAGGCAGAGGCACACCACAGAGAGCTCCGAGATGGCTCAGCGATGAATAAGCGCATCCCTGGCAGGTGCAAGGGCCTCAGTACAATCCCCGGTTCCGAAAAAAAAAATAAAGACAGAAATTCCAACTCTGCTTCCACCAACACTCAGCCCATCACGCCCTGAATCTCTGGCTTGAGTTTTCTCCCTGAGGATGCTGCCTGCCTGAATTTTAGGCTCTGTCCATGCTGCCTTAGCTGGTCTTATTGTAAATAGGGAGCAGGCCCGGTCTAACCCAGCTCTTCAGTTTGTCCAGAGGGCAGGCAGCTAAGCCTTTCAACTACAGAGAACACCGCGGCACTTCCAGGACTCAAGGAACCCGCAGCTACAAGTTGTCATAGCCTGTAACAATTTCATCAGTTACCAGTGATTTGAGGGACTAAAGGATACTTGTGATTGATTTCAGTCATTAAGTCAACCAATGGAGCCTTCTACATCTTTGACACATATATAAAATGTAAAGCATAAACCCCAAACATGCACACAATACTGTAAATGAACTCCTTTTACAGTTACCTTGAGATGCTGATGGCACGACTTACAACACCGCTGTGAAGAACAAGCAACATCTACCATCTTTTTGCCTCCGTCCCATCTCTCAGCCCTTTTCATGTCCCCCAAGGTTATTGCTTTCGTGCCTCCTAGCAGTCCTCCCCACATCACACTGCTTTTCCTCTTGCTTCCAGAACTCCTCTGCTAGCTCAGTGTGGTGGCCTCCGCCTGGAATCCCAGTATGGGGGAGGTAGAGGCAGGGGAGTGCTCTGAGTTCAAGGTCACCTTGCGCTACACAGCTAGAGTCCAAGAAATAAAAGGAATTATTGGCTGTCATTGAACACTGTACTACTGTACACTGTCACAGTGACACACAACAGCACAACAGTGTCAGTCTCCAGCAGATAGGTGTTACTACCACTCGTTTGCACCTACAAAGACTTGCCATGCAAGGTCTTTCCAATTAGTGAAAGTTTGTGATTTTAGTGTTCCTAAGTAGGCGGCTTCCTGCATTCTCTGGCTACCAAACAAACTCGAGCATAGCAGGGCGGGAAGGTTCGCCCAGAGCATCATCACTCTTGGGACTATGGAAAGAGGGTGGATGCAGCCAGACTGCTCTGTGTGGGAGGGCAAAAGCAGCCAGCGCAGGACTCCTAGATTCTCACCTTCTTGGATTTTGCCTTGTCCCTGGTGAATAAGTTCGGGAAATAAAAGGAGCAAATTACAGATGCCTGCAACAACTCAAGTGGATTTGAAAATATTTCACTGAGTGAAAATGGACAAATACTAAAGGATACACATTGCATTATTTTACTTATGTGCTCTTATGAAAAGGCAAAACTACAGGCAAAAATCTTATCAGCGTATGCCTGGGGGTATGGACAAGTCTGATAAAACGTGTACATGAAGGTACTCACTGGAAACAAAAAAAAATGTTTCATTGTCTTGATTATGGTGGTTCAACGCAGCTAAATACGTTTGTGAAAGTACTTGACCTTGGACCACTATGCAGCTCTGGGGTAGGAGGCTAACTTAGCATGCACAAGGCCCTGAGTTCACTTCCTAGTACTACAGGAAAGCATTGAATGTCACAGGTAAGAAGTGTAAATTTCAGTGAATATACATTGTACCTCAGAAAACCTCACAAACC